TTGCATCAAGGAAAAGAAATGGACTGGGATAATTGAAGCTAATTTTTTTCGAGAAAACTGAACCCAAAAATATATGAAAGTAAAAAAAGAAAAGAAAATTTCTCAAGGCCGAAAAAAATAAAATGATATTCTAGTAAGAATTAAAGAATTTGCTGAAACAGAAATTGAAGAATAAAGTAGATACATAAAATAGAAAAGTTTGAAAATTTAAAAAGAACAACTGCTTAAAGGAGAACATTTTGGAGAAACAGAAAAAGTTAATCAGAGAAAAGAAAAAAAAAGAACACCAAAGTAAGATTGATTAGAAAATAATTCCAATGGGAGAAAAGAGTGAAGAATTTTGAGATGAAAGAAGTGTGAGTTGTAAAAAAAGAAAGAAAAGGTAAAAGGATATACTCAAGAGAGAAAGTAATTACAATAGAGTAGAGATGGTACAAAGGACTCACCCTCCAGCCAACCCCATACTACATCACAGTTTTCATAAAATAGTATTCATATAAAAGTACAAATTTTATTGCAATCTAATTATATACAATAATAGATCATATGCAATATAGGTGAACAATTCAAGTAGAAAAAGTTAGATAAATACAATGTATCTAAATACAAATTAGAGACATGTCATAATTGATCATTCCATCTTAAATCAACAATGTTTTTTCAGCCATTTTTAACATCAACTTGAGATTTTCTTATTAAAAGTTGAATAATTTTAACACATTCAACATTATGGATAAAAAATAGTGAATTTTATGTAGTTTTATTCAAGATTTAGCATGAGCAAAACAAATTTAATTTGTAATGTATTTAAATGTAGGTGGAAAAAGGGAAATGTTGATAAGATAGCGAAGGTCACGAAGCCCTAACTGGGGCTCCCAATCAGGCTTTCCCTTCATCCGGTTGTGGGGGAATCAGGGCTAGTATGCACTGGTCCTGCAATAGAGTAAGAGTCAATGAATGAGAAGGTAAAAGATCAAGGGACCAGCAAGAGTAGCGTCAGGTAGAGAAAGTAAATAGATCTAAAACAAAAAAAAGAACAAAATAAGAATTATAGATTTATAATTGCAAATCAGTGAATTATACAGAACAACAACTGATCTATAGGGCAATCATGGAAAGAAAGATAGAAAGAAAGAACTAAAGAAAGAAGTTAAAAAAGAAAATTATAGGACTGCCAAAAAATGGAGGAAAATAAGAAAGAAAGAAGGGAGATAACTTTTGCTTTACAGAAAAAAGTTAAAAATAAAAAGATAGAGAAAGGTACAAATTAAATGAAGAGAAAAGGAGAAAGTTGAAAGCAGAATGCTAAGGAGTATAATGAGTAAGTGAAATGGGGGGAGAAAAGGGGCATAGATAGGTTATCAGTTGAAAACTGGTAATATTTTATGCGTTCTTCTGTTTCATTATAATTCCTGTGATGCTGCCATGCAATGGGCCAGTCGACTCATTCATTACTGGGCAGCTCATTCATTGGGAGCAATGGTTGATGCTTCATGGCAGACACATGAATGAAACAACAGAAGGAGTTCTGGTCAGGGTATGGGCATGTGTGGAGAATGATGCTGAATGAGGGAAGATAGGTTGATCTGAAATGAAGAATGAAAGAGAAGGAAAAGGAAAGGGAATAAAAGACAAGATTTCCTTTTTTAAAAATGAAGGAAGCATTAAGCAAGAAATGCATTTATTTAGAGGAGAAAGGAAAAGGGGAAAGATGAAATAAGAATAGAATGATTTATCTTGAAGAGAAATGAGAAGAAAAGAAATTAAATGTTTAATTAAGGAAAAAATAGAAAGAAGATGGGAAGAGGAAATAAGTGTGGGAAAGAAAGAAAGAAAAAAAAGGAAGGAAAGAAAAAGAAAGAAAGAACAAAGAGAGGAAGGGAACTGATAATGAAGAAATGAGTTTATGTAAAAAAAGAAATAATCGTATAAATGAAAGGAATTGGGGAAGAAATTTATATATAGAAAGAAAAGAGAAATAAAAACATGAAAAGAAAGAAAAACTGTGTGCGTGTAAAGAAATAAGGACGAGGAAAGGATACAGAAAAAATGTATTCATAACAAAAGATGAGAAAAAGAAAGATAGAAACAATGTGTGTGTGATGAAAGAAAGAAAGAAAGAAAAAGAGAAAAGGATAAAGGAAGAAATGTTTTCATAAAAAAGAAAAAAAATGAGAAGAAAAGAAAGAAAGTAAGAAAGAAAAAATGTATGTGTGAAGAAAGAAAGAGGAAAGGAAGAAATGTATTCATAATGAAAGAAAAAAATGAGAAGAAAAGAAAGAAAGTAAGAAAGAAAAAATGTATGTGTGAAGAAAGAAAGAGGAAAGGAAGAAATGTATTTATAATAAAAGAAAAAAATGAGAAGAAAAGAAAGAAAGTAAGAAAGAAAAAATGTATGTGTGAAGAAAGAAAGAGGAAAGGAAGAAATGTATTTATAATGAAAGAAAAAAAGAGAGCAAAAGAAATAAGAAAAGTTATGTGTGAAGAAAGGAAGAAAGAAAATCAGTGAGTAGAAATTTCCTAATAAAAAATAAAGAATATGGATGTGGTGTAGGGAATAAAGCAGTTGGGAATCAAAATTGGGAGATTGTTGTTTAAAAAAAAAAGAAAAATGTAGAAAAATATGGATTGATTGACTATGATATGGACAGACAGATACTGGACACACAGACGGACAGTGGGTGGACAGATGAAGATAGGACAAATGGGCATAAACAATATAAAAGAAAATAAATATTGAAAGAAAGAAAGAAAGAAAGAAAAAGAAAGAAAGAAAATACATGAGACAGAGAGAGCTGGGTGGGGGTTAAAAAAGGAAGGAAGAGAAAATGATGACAAAAATGAGGGGGACCACCTCATCACTGGACCATACCACTTTATTTTTAGCATTTCATTTGTTCTCCTGGGTAGATGCCAAATTGTTATGCATAGAATCAAAAAGAAATCAAATAACAGACAGATCAAAGTAAGGAGCCAAGCTTGAATATGTGTGTGTGTGTGTGTGTGTGGTTGTGTTTGTGTGAGTATGTACGTGTGTGTGGAAGGAGGAGTTATGGGAAAGAGATTTAGGTTTTGAAGGAAAAGGTTTGTACAACTGTAAGAGATTCTTTTACTCTGCCTCACAGCCTTTATTTCTTTCATTCATTTCAACTAACTTTTTTTCTTTTGTTCTTTTCCTTCTGCATTCCCCTCTCATTACTTTCTTTGCTCTTTCCTTTCTGTAAATTTTTGTAGATTTTTTCTTTTCTTCCTCATATTTTTTGTCCATATTTTCTCTTGATTTTTTTTCTTTCTTTATAAAGTTTGTTAATTTATTTTCATTTCAAAATGCTTTTTTCTTTCTTTTGTGCTTTCTTTCTCTCTTTCAGTTCCAAATATTTTCTTTTTTTTATTTCCCTCCTTTCTTTCTTTCTTTCTTTCTTCCTTCTTGTTTTCCTTTCACTTACTTTTTAAGTCTTCTTTCTTTCTTACTTCAATTTTATTTTTACATATTCTCTTTTTTTCTTTTTTCAGTTTTTCTTTCTTTTTTGCCTTTTCTCTTTCACTTCCTAATATTTTTTTCTTATTTCCTTCCTTCCTTCCTTCCTTCTTTTTGTTTTGATTTCATTTTTTAACTCTTCTTTCTCTCTTCAATTTTATTTTTGCACATTACTTTGTTTTTTGTTTTCTTTCTCTCTTTCAGTCTCAAATATTTTCTTTTCCTTCCTTCCTTCCTTCCTTCCTTCCTTCCTTCCTTCCTTCCTTCCTTCCTATTTCTTGCTTTTCTTTCACTTAACATTTTATCGTCTCTTTCTTTATTTTTTTACATAATTTCTTTACTTTTTTTCATTTTTTCTTTATTTTATTGTTGCCATTTTTTACTCCCTTTTTTTATTTCTCCTCCCAGTAATTTTCACATGTGCCCCTCATTTTTACCTTCCTTTTCATCTTCTTCATTTTTTTATTTTTTTTTATTTTTTACCTTTTTGGATTAGAAAGTAAACCTCATTCCCATGCAGTAATCCTGCCACTGCAAAAGAACCATTATGCCAGGCACCTTGGCTCAAAGTTCACTTTCTTTCAGATTACATTTTGGACCACGCATTTTGGCTGTCTGTCAGAGCTAAAGCAGCCTTACATCAAGTCATGATAAATGGTTGCATGGTATACATTTGAAGTGGCGGGTGGCAGTTACAATGGTTGGGGAGGAGAATTTTAGAAAATGGTGGAAGGTAAGGCAGAGAGATAAAAGGAAAGAAAGATATAGATCAAAAGAAAAGACAGGGTGGCATAAGAAAAAGAAAATGAGAAGAAAGAAGAAAGGCATAAAGAAAAAGAGAGAAAAGTGGAGATAGGGAGTAGGAGGGAAAGGTAAGTGGAAAGGTATATAAAAGAAGAGAGAGAAAGCAAGCGAGAGAAAAAGAAAAGAGAGGTTAAAAAATAAGAGAGATTAAATGATTTGTGAGCTGAAAGGAACAGCTACAAAAGGTGAGTAAGGAGTTAACTTCTAGACAAAATAAGAAGGAAAGGTTATGCTTAAGAAGAGTTGCCTTGTTAGGAAGATATAAAGGAAGATTAAAGGAGGGAAAAAGAGGAGAAAAACAGAAATAGAGAAAGATTTTAAGAGATAGAGAAAGATTTTAAACTTGGAGAAAAACTATAAATGAAATAAGTAAATGGAATGAGAATTTGGTATTTAAAAAAGAAAAAGAGTTGAACAAATATAACAAGATATTTAAAAATTGAGAAATATTGGTTGATTGAGAGACTGAAGAATTAAAGAACGCTTTTAAGATCAAGATCATTAGAGTAAAAGAAAGCTAAGGTAGAAAATAAAAGAAATGTGCAGGAAGGGAAGGAGAAGTCATAAGAAAAAGATTCTTTTACTCTGCCTTATTACTTATTTTAATGTTCTTTCTTTTCTGTTTATCTTCTTTCATTTTCATTGTTATTTCATTCAGTTTTTTTTTCTTCATTGTTTTATTGTTTTTTCTCATTCTCCATTCTTTTTTCTATGTATGTTACAGAATGAAAAGTGAAAAGGAGAGAGCCTGCTGAACAAAGTAGAATGAAAGGTGAGAGATAGGGAAATATTGAGAAAGAAGACAGTGAAGCACTGAAATAGATAGATAGATAGATAGATAGAAATCAAGAATGTATAAAGATAGAAACAGTCTGTATATAGATAGGCAGAAGCAGACTGTATATAGATAGATACATAGAAGCAGACTGATATATAGAGAGATAGAAAGAAACAGGATAGATAGATAGAAACAGACTGTAGATAAACAGAAACAGACTATAGATAGAAAGAAATAGACTGTAAATAAATAGATAAATATATAGAAAGAAACTGACTGTAGATAGATAGAAACAGACTATAGATAGAAAGAAACAGACTGTAATTAGAAAGAAAGGCTGTAGATAGATAGATAGATAGATAGATAGATAGATAGATAGAAATAGATAGATAGATAGAAACAGAGGATAGATGGATAGATAGTAACAGACAGAAAGAGAAAGACAGTGTGTGTGTGTGTGTGTCAAGTAAAATAAAATCAGGAGAAGAAAAAAGATATATAAAGAAAAGCTAACAGGAAGAGAAGTGGGGTAAAGAGGCGCAGGTGAGGATGATGAATTAAGACAGTCGTTAAGGAAATGGGTGGATGGAAAGCAAAGAAGATGAAATAGGTATTGGTCAGCATTCCCTCTCTCAACTTCCACCAATGGAAGGAGATGGGTCAAGAAAAGAAAAAAAATAAATGAAAGGGATTATAAAAATGCCAAAGGTCAAGTGTAAGATGAAGAATTCAGCAAAAATGAAAAGTTTGCTGAAGGAAGAAGTGGGTAAAGAAAGTTTGATGCATTGAGCAAATAAGAATAAATCTAGGAAGAGGTGGATGTGGGTAATAAAAAAAAAAGAAAGAGAGCATGATGAAACTAGGAGAGGTGGGGGCAGTTTGAAAAGAATAAAGAAAGAACAAAAGATAGTGCTGATGATAAGAAGAAGAAGAAGAAAAAAGAAAGAAAGAAAGAAAGAGATGGAAAAGAAGAAGACGTGGTAAAATAAAAAAGAAAGAAAGAAGAAATATAGAGATGAAGAAGAAGATGAGAAGTAGTAAAGTAAAAAAAGAAAGGATAGGATAGAAATGGGAAAGTGGAAGAAGAAGAAGAAGAAAGAGAAGAAAAGTGGTGATGTGAAAAAGAAAGAAAAAAGAACTATGTATAGATAGTAAAGATGATAAGTGGTAAATTTAAAAAAAAAAAAGAAGAATAGAAATGGGAAAGTAAAAGGAGAAAGAAAAAGTAAAGAAATGATAAAATACAAAAAATGTGTGGAAGTGAGAGCAAGATTGAAGAGGAAAAATAATATCTAAAATAAAGGAGAAAAGGGAAGGATTAGAAAAAAAGGGAAAGAATAGAAAAAGTGAAAGAAAGAAAATGTGAGACAAAAAGAGAACAAGATGTACAAATGTGAAAAAGAAAAGAGAGACAATTCCAGCAATAACTGAAAGGAATGAGTAAAAGAAGAAAGAGAAAATGGAAAGTCTAAAAAAAATAAAAAATAAAAAGAGAGAGAGGAGAGGAAAGAAGGAAAATGAAAATAAAGAAAGAGATGGAGTGGAATTAGGAAAAAATAAAAATTACTGTGGATTCCTGAGGAGGACAAAATGCATTAGAAAAAGAAAAGAGGGAGAAAAACAAGTGATGAAAGCAGATCAGACAAAAAGCTAGAAGAAAAGGATATTGGAAAATAAAACAAATCAGAAGAATCAATGGAATGAAAAAATTAAGTTAATGAAAAAGAAAGAAAAGGAAAGTAAAAGAAGAAAAAAAGCAAGTGAAAAATAAATAAAAGAGAGAATTGAATGAGTTTTTGGATTTAGATTTAGATAAAAACGAAAAGCAAGAATTTGAGGAATGAAAAAAAAAAGAATGATAAAGAAACAAGACACAATGTTTTAAAGAACTAAGGTAGTCCAGAGGATGGAAGAAAATGAGAAATTGCAATATGGTTGGAAGGATTCCAGTGTAAAAATTATGTCTATGAACAAAATCACACTGACAGGACTCTAAGGAGAAATTCATAGAATTTAGATTTGAAAATTTTGGTTATTGCAAAGAAGAAAAGGTACAGATAATTAAGTGGATGGTTGATTTTCCTTTAAGGAATGGGGGAGAAAAAACATAATAGGCAAGTGTAAAGGAAAGTCATATTTACGTTACATAAGAATATGTGGCTATTGCACTCAGGAAGAGAAAAAAAAGAAGTATTTAGAAAAGAACAAGAGATCAAGAAGCAAGCAAGGAGATGAAAAAAGAAAGGGTTAGAAAGGAAGGATTGGAAAGCAATGAAATGTAGTCTGGGGTGATGATGAAGAATTTTTTTTGTATTTTATAGATAAAGATAAATTTGAAATAAAGATAAGAGAAAAATAATTGTGAGAAAAGGCAAGACACTAATTAAAGAAAACACAATATGAAAAATTGAGTGAAAAGGAAAAAGGAAAAAAAGCTGAACTGATGAGAAAGAAAAATGCATTACAGAAAATAATGGAGAATGTTATAAAAAAGAAAGAAACAAAAAAAGGAATATAGAGAGAAAGTAATTCTTAAAAAAGAAAAATAGAAAATAACAGTAAAATATAATAATATTATGAAATGGATATAGAGAAAAAAGAGAAAACTTGAAAGAAAAATTTGAATGAAAAATATCAAGTTTTCTGAAAGTGAAAATAAAAGACAATCTGAGGATAATATAAAATACATCGTTATTTTTCATGGAGTTGAAAAAAGTGCTAACTGCTAATGGAAGATGCAATTAAAAAAGGTAAGAGTTACAAGAAAGCAAAAAGAAAATCTTAATAGGTGTGAGAGAGAAAAGGAAAATCTATATAGGTGTGAGAGAGAAATTGGTGGAAGTAAAAAGAAAGTGAAACAGCAAGACAGGCAGAATGATAAAGAAAATAATCAGCAAATGAAAATATAAAAGCAAAAGAGAAAAACTAGTGGAATGCAGGTTTCATTCCAGGAAAGAAAAAAAAATGTAAGAAGGAAAGGAGATGCTTTCAACAAAAGGTGAGAAAAAATCTACTGTCGGATGTGAGTGAGAAAGAAAGAATAAAATCTTTTTTTTTTTTGTTTTTTTTGTTTTTTAGAGAAACAGAGGGACAAGTGAGAAAGATGGCTTCTGTTTCCCCAGTTCAAGAAGCAAAATATAAAAGAAAAAAAATGGAAAAGAGAGTGGAGTGGGGGAAAAGAAAAAATTTAGAAAGAAAGATGAATCATCATGACGTTTTTGCGGACTGGTCAAAAGAGTTGACCTGTACATGCAATGGCTGTGGGTCAGCATAACACCCTCAGTTTTGCAACTACCTTCCTTTCTCTATATCCCATTCCCAAACTCTTGCCATCGCCCCCCACTGCCAAAAAAAAAAAAAAAAATAAGAAAAAGGAAGAAAAAAAAAATAAGAAAAAGGAAGAAAAAAAAAAGATTAAAAACTCCTCCTTGCAGATTGGAATTTATATATCACTGCTAATATCTGGTGGTAGCATTAAGGAAGGTAGTGGCAGAAAGGTTCCTGGTCTGAGCAGTGTGTATGGGTGGAGGAGTTTTCAATGGCGGTGAGGGGTCTCAAAAGTAAAGGGGTAGGGAAAGAGATAGTGGCCTTGCAGGGAGGGTATTTTAGAGTAGGGTAGAGTAAGGAGTAATGATGGCCAGTGAAGAAGGGTGTGGATGGGTGAGTGTGCAGAAATAAACCTAGGCACATGGACAGCTTGGGCTGGCTGTAAGATACTCAGGTCTTGGTGGTGGCGGTAGTGGCGAGCACCTCACAAACCCAGGGTGGGAGTAAAAGGAGAGAATGCTTAGGTGGTTGAGGAAGGTAGAATTTGTTGTAAAAGTGGTTTGGATGAGGGCAGAGACATAGAAAGTAATGTGAGAGGATGGAAGAAGAATTTTAGGTTGAAAAAAATGGGGAAAAAAAGGGTTGTGTGGAAGTCTGCAGTGAGGGGATAGAGGTGGGGGATATTGTGAAAAGATGTTGTTATTATGGATGTTGTTATGCATTCTGCTTTGGTGTTAGGATTTTGTTGTTGTATTGATGCCAATAATAAAAAAATGTTTATAGTATTGTTGTGCATGTTGGTGACATTGTTTTTGTGTTGATATCCACAATAAAGAATGTTTACAATATTGTTGTTTATGTTGGTCATATTGTTCTTGTATTCATGTCCACAATAATGTATGTTTTCAGTATTGTTGTTCATTTTGGCAATGTTGTTTTGTCTTACACTTTGTATCATTAGATAATAATGATTACTATATTTTTGTGAGTTGTTATGCTTGTTTAAGATCAGTACTGTTATGAATGTTGTTATGACTATTCTGAGTATTGTGTATTTCATTGTGAATCAATGAAGGATTTTGACAGACTTATGAGTAAATATTATCCTTATTAAAACTGTTGTAAAATGCAATGTTGTTATTACTATTTTTGTATTGTGTATTTTATTTCCATACAAATAGAGCTATTACTGGACTTGGTTATATTTTTATCATTGCTTTTACCATTACCATTAGTTATATATGAATTTCAAGGATAAGAGGCTATCATTATTTACAATCAGACTGATGTCCTCATCTTTGTTACTATCACGTTTTAATTGTTGTGCAATTGTACTATTTATTTTGCCATTGGAAATATATTATTAATAAACACTTTGACAGTTATGTCTTGTGCATTGTTTTTTTTTAATGTTGTACCTATTCAGAACATCGGCAATCATGTCTTTTTACAGATTTCTTTTCTTTATTATCAAAAAATTTGCTCTTGGAAAGTCTGTTACCTTCTTCACAATTTTGAATTCAGAGTAGTCCTTTTCCCAGATTGCTGACAGAAAACCCAGAGATATTTAATCCATAGCTGTGAGGAGAAAAAATGGATTTATGCCTTTCCCAAAAGCATTAGTGTAAAAGTTAACACTAGACTCAAATTTAAACTCAGCTCACTAATTTCATATTGATAACAATTACACTACTCATAAATCCAATCATGTTCAGTATATATTAACTCTGTAATGCTCACTATAAAATACACTGGGCATTGGTGGATTAATTGTTGTTCTTCATCTATATGCCATGTCCCTTCAGGGCATAGGCAATCAAGGTTTTCCATAACTTTCTGTACATTGTAGCCCTTAGTAAAGTTAGTCTTTTTGCTATATTTCCTGAGCCCTGTTCTGCTAACTATTTACAGAAATTTGTTAGGTAGGTTATGCAGTTTACTTCTGCCCCTCTTGCCGTCAGTATGTCCTGTGAGTGTCAAATTTCCTCTTTCCTCATTATGCACCCTAGAAATTTCAACTGTCTCTTTCTGATGTTAAATATAAGTGTGTTTTTTGTTGTTATAGGTTTCTAAATAGAAGTTTTTGTATTGCATTAAATGCTACCATGAGTACTGTGTACTTTGTTTGATAATAGCTAATTTGTAAATTTTGACTGAATTTTATTTTAGTAATGTTATAAATTTTCTTACAAAGAAAGTTATAGTCTGTTTGAGTCATGTTCTTAAATAGCCTCATCAGATCAAAACCTTTATGTGGTTGTCATGTGTCAAACCTGTTCAGAAAAACCCAAACTGTCAGCTGTATACAACAGCTTCTTAAGATCAATAGTGAAAAAAGGCTTTGAGCAAGTGAAGTTGTAGGGTCTTGCCAAAGATCATTCTTCTTTAAACAGTGTAGACTGGCACTACAGAATCATAAACAAAAAAAAACTGTACCAGATAACAGAAACCACATCACTTGAGGAATTACAACAGCAGCAGCAACTAAGACATCTAACTTGAACAGAAAATAATGACATAATTAAGATGTTGATATTCCACACTACTTCAAATAAAAGGTTAGGAAGGCAACCCCCATTAATACTGGAAAGAATGATAACAGCTACTGGATTTGAGAAACTTGTTTTCCTAAAAAATTGTTTTGAGAAAGATTTTATAAATTTCAACCAAAAGCAGTACTAGATGCTTGGTCAATGAAAGCCAAATGTTTCCTTGTAGGAAAGGCTAATATTACCATTACTATATTAAATATGTTTTAGTCTTGGATGTTATTATTATTTTTAACAATGTAATCATTATTTTAATAATAATATTACAGTGCTGTGGTTAATGTTGCAATTTACTGAGAGAGATATAGTTGTCATTTTACATCTGCATTTTATTTTGACTCATAAACTTTTCTTGTAGATAGAGAGTAGATAATCTTGCCATTGAGAAAATTGTTACAGAAATTACCCTCATAATAGGTTCATTCAGTTGTGACGATTTTTACCTTATTCTCTTGGATCCATTAATAGTTTGTAGTCACTAATGAACTCACAAAGTGACTCCAACAGAAAATTTTAATTTATGCAAGTCTTGGTACATTTTTTTTTTCAAAACACATTAACTGTCATAATTTACTGTATTAACTGTGCATTTGTAAATGTTTCAAAACAATATACCAGGTAATCAAACTTTAAACAAAGATGGGACATATCTACTATAATTTTAAAAGATTTGTTCAGATTTCATGCTTTACATAGCTTTTGTTGCTTCTACATTTCAACTATTCTTTTCTAGAGTCTTCATCAGATGTTATTTGAAAGAATATAGACAACTGTGACTCTCCACAGATTCTTTTCCTTTATTAACTGCAAATTGTCATGACATCTTGGGAAATATTATGGAGTGCTTCCAAATTCAAAGCAGAAGTTCTCCAAAACTGGCTACCACTCAAAGCTTAGGAGACCAATCTATTCTGCTATTTAACCCACATCTGATGGGACAAAAACTGAACAATATCAAAATATTAATAAAATCAGTCATGCAAAAGGAAAAGAGATGAAAAGTTACTGGCCTAATCAAGATGCCCTTCCTTGAAAAAAAAAAAGAGAAAGTGGGGACAGGCTGAGAATTTTTCAGCACATCTTGTATAACAAAGTAAAATTATAATCATAGTTATGTAATATAACAGTAAGTAACATAATAATAATCATAAATAATTTATAACATATAACTTCTTTTCTGAAATGTCATGACCATTCAGAACACGGGTGATCATGACTCTCAACAGCTTCCTTTTCTTCTTAACCTTTAGCACTCTGTATTATTAATATTACTTCCCTTTCCACTGCATTCTTTTTCAAGGCCTCTCAATTGCAGTATCCTTATCATTAATTTCTCTCAAAATTGCTTTCTGTTTCCATAGCAGGATATGACAACACAATTATGAAATTCAAACATGCTATTGTTCAGGTATCATAGTCACCTTCAGTGGCAGGATAAGTTTTTTGTACAGCAAATGAAGTCAGAAACAGAGTGATAAAGGTTAATATCTGTGATTTGTCATGATTGGATTTGGAAAAGATAGTGAAGTGATTTTGCATTAACTTCTCCATGTCTTTGTAATCTTTGTCTTAGACTGGCTTCCACCCAAGGCTAGAGAACCCAGTCTACTCTTCTATGTAAGCTATAGCTGGTGGGGATAGGAAGAAATTAATTCAAGCCTTTCCCAAAGGCATTAACTAAATTATTTATTAATATAATTAGTTATTTCATTAATCCAATTAATTAATCCTATAAATCTTAAACAGTATGATCCTTTAACATTTGTCTATGTTTCTGTGATGAGTTATTGTAAATATTTACACAATTTACATCATTTGGACTGTTGTCTTCATCTTTATTGCTATATTCACAATGTTTTGACTGTTGTAGAATCTGGCTTTCCTCAGGTAATATAATCATAATTCAAAATTCCAATGTATATCATCTGAAGAAGGCCAATGTGTACAATAGCTGAAATGTTGTGAATATGGCAATAAAGATGTGGATAATAGTCTGAACAATGTAAATAGTGTAGATTTTACATCAGATCCTACAGAGCAGTGTGACAAAAGTAGAAATAATGTAAACACTTGAACACTTCCAACAGCATCAACAACAAAAATGGTGGAATATTTAACTAGAAGAGAAAATAAAGATATAATCAAGCAGTTAACTTAGTGCACTATCATCAGCAGAATGATTAGGAGGAAACTGCCATAAATATTAGAAAGGTCTATAAGTTAGTGTATTTGAGAAATCTAATTTCCTAGCTCGGATTGAGGAAGCAGAGAGCCAAGTTTAAATTCTAGTTGAATTCATTACATTCACTTACATGCTTGGGAAAGGTATGAATCCTCCTCCCCCCAGCTATGGGTAAATAGCAGGACAGACTGGGTTCTATAGCCTTGGATGGCAACTGGTCAGAAAGAAATGGCAACCTACTGAGGGAAAAAAATCTGCCTTGTCAGTCATGAAA